TGAACCGTGACCTATGTTCGTAGGCAGGTTGGAGTTCATCTTTTTGATCCATATTCCAATTTTTGGAAGATAGGTAAACTGAATTTTTAAGATTTTTACATTCCTTAAATTTAATGAAAACAGCTTCTCTTTTGGGAAATACTTTCCATGTTAAATTCTCAGGGCATGTTTGGAACATGAAGATCAGTGGCTGTGGACTGCCATTTATTATTGTCATGCTTGTTAACAGCCCATGAAAAAGAAACATCATAACGGTTTAAAGGTTCATTAAGAAGCACTTTCATAAACTACTTTAATGTTCCCAAGGGCAAATTTATCATTGGATCAAGAGTGTAGAGTAGCAGCTGTCCAAACAAACAGTAAAATACACATAGAATACATACAAACGGCCATGTATGTAGACTATGTACACACAACCATTTAAAAAAACAACAGAACACCAACATTATTGCACACCTTCCAGGACTCAATGTACTTTGTTTTACATTTTTGATTAAAAATTTTGATGGAGGTGAGTATAAAAGAGTATGTTGGGGGATTGTGTTCCTTCTACTGGAAGGTAACATTTCATGTTGCATTTCCAGGACTCTTGACTCAAATGTGGAGATTGAACTTGTTTTAACAGAAGTCCACTTTGATCTTGGGTTTTCTCAGAAAATTTCTCATCTTTAATCCCACAGTAGTCTTAAGGTTATGTTTTCACAAAACTTTACTGTCAGCATTCTGAATCGTTCTTCACTTGCCCCTGAGCCATAGAACAGAAAGTTTTCACCCTATGGACATCCAACAACAAATTACCCCAAAACAACTGCAGTCAACCCCACTCCCAGTTCCCACTGTGGATATTTTTCACTCGCGTTCTGACCACGTTAACAAGCGCGCCGCCAACTGTGACACATTTCACAAAGACTCCAGAATCGATAGTTACCGCCGGTTGTTTGCTGGAGGTGAAAATGCCCTCCTACAGGCATGTTGAGACACACACAGGAAGAGGATGTGAAAAAGAACACAAATCACCAAAACGTAAAGTTAGTTGGAGGTAAATGGATGTCCCTTATAGAGACAACGTCTCATCGAATCAGATTAATTGGCAAATTAGCACAGATTGATGTCATAGAGTGAGGCAGTGGAGCCCGGCGAATGCATTAATTTCCTGTAACAGACTATTACCCAAAATTGCCTCTATCAGCCAACTGACAAAGACCTCTGCAGAGGCGAGGAGGGAATCTCAAAGCGCAGTGTGGACTGCTATTTTCTTTGTTGCGGACCTCGTGTAGCTCCCAGACAAGCTCTGCCTTTGATACGTGGCTTCAGTTCTAATAATTCATCAGAGAAGAAAAGCATCATGTCTCCCCTAACAAGCCGGGCCAGTTCCCACCTTTCTTCTGCCTCTTTCTCCTGTCTATTCAGCTTCATCAGAGGTACGCTTTAATCAAAGCCAGGCAGGAGGATGGAGAAAGTGTGTGTGTGTGAGAGAGACAGAGAAAGAGACACGGAGTGTGTATGCATGTGGAAGAGAGCAGGCTAAGCTTCGAGATGCAGTTGCCAAGGTAACTGCATACAGTCCTCTCTCTCTCTCTCTCTCTCTCTGTCTCTCTCTCTCTGTCTCTCTCTCTCTGTCTCTCTCTCTCTGTCTCTCTCTCTCTCTCTCTAGACTCTCTCTCTCTAGACTCTCTCTCTCTGTCTCTCTCTCTCTCTGAGGGATGATAGGGGAACAGAAATACCAACCGAATGAGAAGGCAAATGATGAGGCAGCTGGAAAGAAAGAGGATCACAGATCAACAGAAAAGATAAAGAACAACAAGAAGGAGGAAGTATGATTAAGTGGCATTTCAAGTCAGAGAAAATATCAGTCGCCATCATGGCTAAAGGTAGCGGAAGTGAACAGTAGATGTGTTTCTATTAACCATACAATTGCACAATTTGACGTTTAGAAAATAAATTTGCTCAACGGAAGCACGCCAACTCGCTTTTCAATTCAAAGATTTGGTTTTAGGATGAGGTGTTTTTTTCAGTTGTATCAAAATGGGTTTATTTCACCAAATTGCAAAGGAGTTTGGTGAAATTGTTGATCACGTCACACGAGTCACATGATCAACAACCGGATGTTGCTGCTGGCACAAACCACAAAGAAGAAAATGTCAGGAAGTAGATGCAAGATCAGTTTTTAAACTTTTTAAAATTTTAAACTTATTAGCTTATTAGCTGAACATCAAAGACACTGAATTTGGTCCATGCATCACGAAGATTTGACGATGTCCATTTACTCATTAATATGTTATCAATTTTAGATTTTGCATTATCTAATATATTACATTTTTCTTTTTTCAGACTTAAACTTTGTGCTTTTATAGATTTTTAGTTTCTGAGTCCAACACAACCATTGTAGAGAATGCTAAATGCTAACTTTAGCGTGCTAACAGAGAGTATTCCTAGTCCTTTTGGTGTTAGATTGTGAATAGTCTGCTACAAATCTGCTACTTTCTTTCCAGAATTTGAGAAAATGATACATTATATAATAAAGAAAAAGTTAGGTAAAACGGAATTTTATTCAGTAATACAAGCTAAAGTTACTTTGTTGACTGGATCTCTGCTGCTGTACTGTCCATTAGTGTCTCATGTTGGCATTTGTACCTTGAAGGCAGCAGAGTCTCAGTCTGGCATGTCGCCCCAAACCGATCCAAGGCCCACTGCTGCCTGTCAGTGAGGGTTCACACAGTGGCCCAGAGAAAAGGATGGGAGACTCAAGGACACCACTGTCACTCACCCAACACCAGATCCAAACACACTGACACTCTGACAACTCATGTTAGCACTGATGAGACCCATCGGGCATCGCTCAGAGCACTTCTTATTTACCAACTACCTCGAGTAAAGAAATGACGAGTTTTTTGATCGTGTGATGTTAACATTAGAGCTGCTGGAGCTGGAGTGCCTGACATAAAATTCCAGGATTATTATCACTCCCATTAAACACACTGTCTGATTTAAATAGAAAAAACGGGACTGAACAATGAAAGCTTAACCGCTGCAAGAGTCTTAAATAAAATAACTAAATAGATCATTTTGCTCATGTGATTTGTCCTCCATTTTGAAATCACAAGAATATTTTTTATATTAAGGCATCAGATATTAATAACATAGTAATACACTTTTTAAGTCAATTTTTTACGTGTGAAATAAAGACTTTTCAGGACAACCACACCTAAGAAGTAACAGCTGATTCAGGGTTAAACTCAGCTGGCTAACTATTTTAAAGCTGGTTGCACATTGAAAGCTCCCACTCTCAAGTCTGTACAGTTCATAGCTTATACTAAAAATAATAAATATAGTCATTATGCAACTGATGTTGACATATCAGTTCCAGCAATGCTGTATACCACATTTTCATTAAGCCAAATACATCAGCTGTATTCTCATCAAAATCTTAAAATATAAGGTAGTTAATGTTATAATCAGTGGTGGGACTTGATTAAAATTTTTAATCAAGTTAATTGCAGGATCCTCATTTTAATTGAAAACTACCAACAAAATAAGCAACATTTTCAATTTAAAATCTCTTTTTTTCCACTGCTACATTACCAACCAAGTACGAATCTGTTATTTATGTTATTCAACCATCAGAATGGTGCGAAGTGATATCATACCCATTCAGCTTTCAGTGTTTTCTGACCATTCATGTGACTTTTTTCAAAGGAATCCTTCTTTACAATTGTGGACTGTAGACGCTGACATAGCGTTGGGGACGTCTGTGCTGCTGCTACATGTTTAGCAATGAAATTTTATCCTGGCCTTGAAAAGCTATACTGATATGATAATTCGTTTTAGCATAACGTGAACATAACAATAGTCTTTCCAGCATCCAATATGATTGTCTTTTGAAGCAAAAATGATCCCAATGAGGGCCACGAGAAGCAGCTTCATCATCCATTTGCTGTTTGTGGATGTTTCTTGTGCATCAGATTTATGGGCATACCAGAAACTCTTGAATAAAAAGGGTTCCAGTCAAAACCAATGTATGCAAAAAAAACAAAAAAATCTTTTTTAATTTTTACCCCGTTGAAATCTATATAATTAATTAATCAAAATTAATGCTCTACAGTCCCGTCCATAGTTACAATGCAACTGTTATTCAACCGATCCAAACTAATATGCTTGATTAATAGTATGCAAAGCGACATTTGCAGGTTCCATGAATTGCTGGATTTGCTCTCTTGAAGGAGACTTTTTCATTTTGCACTAAAGCTCAGTGGAGCATTCCCAAGGACAGCTGCCTTACCTCTGACAAATCTGTCTTTAGATGCCGTACACTGTGCACCCCAAGGACTGAAAAGGTTTTTTGTTTTTCCCCCCCTTTCTCTCCTTGCAGTTCTTCTATCGTCCCCAACTCCCACTGTTGATGCCGTGATGAATGACCAAAGGCACCATTTCTGGAATTATGTACCTCAGCAGCATGCAAACGACTGGAGCGTTAAAACAAGAACATGGGTGTGGAAGCGTACAGGCGGATGAAAAGGCATCATCATGGACCACGGGGGCAGGGAGACACATGATGGCAAGACAAAGCTTAATGGTTTCTAATTGCTCTGACAAAACTGTTCTTAACTCTTTAAAGCCACAAAAATGACACACAGAGGGCCTTACCCTGCACAGTGCTTGTTGTTGAGCTGTCCCCTCTTATCCATAATTGTCAAAATCCCTTCCAAAACAAGCCTTTAAATCATTTCTGTTTTGTCTCAATGCCAGCTTTATTTCCACTGTGTGGAATGCATTAAATGTGTGCACAACCAAAACTAAGCTGGACCTCTAAAATATATCCAAGTGTGAGAATATGTTGCCCCAGATTCGCTCCATTTCTGCCAAAAAGTTCTGCAAGACTCTCTGAGACTGGAGTGTTTTTGTCTCAACTAGAAGTCTCAACTGTGTTCCAGTTAATGAGAGACTGTCACAACAGTCCCACTTTTCAAACCAGACTCTCCAGCATTGTAATTTCTGTGTGGTAAAATTGTTTCCTGCTGCTTAAGACTGCAATCACAGCTGTTTATGGCTGTTGATGAAGTGCTGATGTAAAAACAACAACAACAAAAAAACAGGTCAGAGCAGTTTTGGTAATGTTGTTCCCAGTTGTTCTGGAACTACATTTACCAGGGTTTTCTATTTTTTCGGGGATAGAAATGATCTTTCAATGACAAATAATTTATTAGCTGGTGGAGCCGAGTAATAGGAAACCAGTAGACCCAACAGTCGTGGTGTACCTCCTGCTGATTGCGTGTAATTGAATCATTAATTGAAAGGAGGCTTGTTCAACATGGGAGCAGTGTGAGTTTAATCAGTGAGGTCATTCACTGGCGTCAAACAGACGGCTCTTATTTCTGGACGATGGCAGGAAGTGTCATCATCCAGGCTGTGCTGCAGTTCTCTGAAACTGATCATTGTTCTTTGCAAAAACATCTTACTTTGATTTAACTGACAGACGATCCAGGTAAAATGATATTAAAAGTCGCAACCAGAAAGATGGAGAAGAAAATGGAAGCCTACCATTCAAATAGACATGATGGGTCTTTTTTTTTTTTTTGACTAAACTGAAGCACTGAATTCCACAGCAGATCTACATGGTAAAGTTGTCAAAGTCAAGTTAGCATAACTGATCTACTTCTCTCTCCCTCACTATCTTTCCTTTCAATCAAAACTTTTCTTGATGTGATGCTTTTCTTGCTGTCTAGTTGTTGTAGTGTTAACAATTAGTAGCAGCTCCGTCCCTTTTTCATTAATAAATCACATGTATATTTAAGATTTGCTGCGACATGTTGGCAACTTGACTGCTAAAACCAGTGGCAGTCAAAGTTATTGAGCGGTTTTTTGCCCTCTCACGCATAAAATCACGTGGCAATTTGCCTATAGAATACTATGAGCTCACAATTCCTGAATCTTTTCTTTCTTTCCATTACAATGTTCCCACCATTGCTGGGGCCCTTCATCCCAGGCCCTAAAACCAATGACCTTTTATAGGCATCATGTGCAGACAGAATCAGTCTAACTGGGATGATATATTATTGGTATACAATGTGTGAATGCATGCAAGCATCCATTACACTCACCGATATTGTGATGATAATTGTGGGTTCCATATATAATGCAGTTCAAGGACAAATCTGCATGCTTACAAAGCTGACAGTTTTAATGCATCACCTCCTAGGTTGTTAAGCTAGGAAGTTGTAATACATACAGAGCTTTTGAAGTCCCAGCAACATAAAACACAACATATTCAAATAAAATTGGTGTGTTGTCTCCCATTGAGCTGCAGACAAGCTTATGTGTGCTTCAGTTCTAGTTCCACAGAAACACTCTTCTGTAGAATTTCAAACGAAACTTGTCTGATGGTCCAAACCACTTGAAGCTTTGCTTCGGCTTAGCACACACACTTCGTCTGATCCTCATTTTGCCTTTCCCTTTGAAGGAATGCACAAACACATGTATACATACATACACACACACGCACGCACACGCACACACGAACACACACACACGCACACACACCCCCGCACACGTGCACGCACACACACTCCTACGCAATTCTTTCCCCCTTTGATTTTATTTTCTGCAACAGATCTCTGTCCCTGTGGTTGTTTATTATAATGTACAAAAGTCATTTTACTATAAATACGACGTTGTTTCTTTTGTTTTTACAAATTCAGTCTTTCTTGTCTCATCTGCCCAGTTCAATGCTGTTTACTGTAACTCTGTCACTATATGAAGGGCTATATATAATCAGTTCCAAACTGATTATATATAGCGGATCCCCACATATTCACTG